TCACATAATACTTGTGCTCGAGAATGCCGCCAAAGATTGTTTCTGAACGAATGGAGCCATTGTGGACGATTCCATGCCGAACATTCCTTGGGCAACTATTTACCCTATACTGCCCCAATCATCCGGAGTCGAGCCAGTTTTTGACCGAGTTCTATGTTCTACACCGAAGTGGTGCTTTCGCACCAGCTGGAATTCTGTGACAAATTCAAATTGAAATTCAACAGCCAAGAATGTTCTGCATGGAGCATCTGTTCACAATGGCTCCATTCGTTCAGAAACACTCTTTGGCGGCATTCTCGAGCACAAGGAGTTATGGAAAAATGCTTTTCAATGCACAGAGACCATTGTAGAAAAAATGCAAAACAGAAAACGCATCAAGCAACGCAAACGTATCCAAACCCTCGACAATGTGACCGCGAGACCTGCAACGTATCCACTCGGCCACGCCGCTTCGAGCGGTGAAGCCTCACGCCGCTAATTCGTATTGAATGCCACTATGCTCCCCCTAAAAAGGCCCCGTAACTTTGTTCTGGGAGGTCCGCAGCAGATATGGAAGACGGTTTCGTAATCCCCGTCCAAAGACCTTCAGTCGGTATACATTTCAAATGGCCACTTCGACCTACCATCCTTCCCTTGTGAGAGGCGTATGACACCGCCATTTTACATAACGGTGCTTGCACCTTGTCAGCAAAGAAGAGTCATCACGACCTGGAAGTTCTGGCCCGGATGACAAATTTCGGGTAGTAGGGTCCATATGGGAACGCTGGATATTGATTGACTTCCCTATCATAGGAAAGGCCAGAAAAAGTCGAAAATCCCCTGAATCAGGCTATCCTGATTTTCTGCATTGGCCGAGCGGTCAATAGAGTCGCAGAGACACTCAGTAAACCGCTGAGATACCAACAAGCTTGGGGGATCCACGCAGCCGCCCACGCAAGGACGGGAAATCTGATCTCAACGACATGCAGCAGTAATGTGTTCGCAGAGGATCGAACATGATTTAGGCGGAGCTTCTGGTCTTCGCAAACTGTTAGTACCCTCCCCATGCATTCTCACTTTGCACAAGTGTCGCACTCTAAGAGACCTGCTTGTACATGAGAAGGATAATACCTCTCAAATAATCGATTCCTGCGTTTTTAAGTACTTCTTTGGCTAGTTGACAAATTTACAAATTTAGGTGATAATTTTGATTGACCTCACGCATGAGTTCCATGATTGAGGTCCTATCTTTATTTAGCGCCCTCCCGGTACTATGGTTGTGCTTGAAGTTGTGGTCAAAAATGGCATCTACAGATGAGATGTCTGAAGGGTACACAAGTAACGCCGAGGAGCTCCTCGTGGTTGCTAAAGGAGAAGAAGACAGCCTCAAGGTGATTGTTAAGCCCGTACCACCCTTGAAGGCAGTTGGCACGATAATTTGATACTCGGCCTAAAATGCTAAAAGGGCACTATCTAGTGGGAAAATGGCGAAAAAAAGTGAAACGGTCAAAAACCTGCGAAGAAAAGCCTTCGTTCTTAATGACTTGAAAAGCAATTTCGGACGAGTTTTCCCGTAGGCATCTTGCCAATAACCGCTACGGTAGATACGGCTGCACGTATGTACTCATATATCCATGCAGCACCGCAGCCGCTTCATACCAATCCCTTCGCTTCATATTTTACTTCGCAAATGAAGCAATACGAGCATCAGGTACGGTCGTTCCATTTGTGGGCGAGCGGGCGCGGTGGGCGGGTCGGTATGTTGCAGCTCGATAGGGCCTATAAGAGCACCTTTCTTGGAAAAGGCACTACGCAGCACCTGCTCGGGGTCGCCGAATATCGTCCTGCCAGTCCCAATCAATCCTACTCGTCTTAGGGTTATATCGTGCCAAGTGCCTCTGAGATAGGGTAAAGGCTAGAGGGAGGATCTGCGGTATTCTTTTTTACATTATCTTTATACCTGAGTTGATTTTTTAGGTCTTGCTCGACCAATTGCTGGCTCACCTCAGTCAACCGATGAAGTATCATCGTACTGTGGTCTACTATGTGTTTGTTCAGCTACTGCCCCATTTCGAAAAAGAGCATGTTTCTCATATAATTGAGGTAGATGTGATACTTATTGTATATTGAGTATATTTGTCTTATGAAAAACTGCACTATTCGCCTTTGGGAGCCATCTGATTGGATTGCTATGTAAAAATAGGATTACTGTAGCGCGAAACCTCCATTTTACACCAGGGCACATCATTGGTTGGGGATTTTAGTCGACTCTATACGACCCCCTCCCTTTTTTTGAAAGTTG